TGTCTTTATCCCTTTTAAAATCCGCAAACGTATTTCTCGGAATTACCGAAATATCTGCCCCAGTATCAATCAAAAAATTTAATTTATTTGGATGATAGAATATAAAAATACGAAAAAGTTTAGCAGATGTCAAATCATTACTATTTGAAGTTGAAACGTTTATTAGTTTTTTTGATTTTGTTTAGATGTAAATGATGCAAAATGAGTACACCAAGGACCCCCACATTTTAATGCATTATTATTATATTTATTGGGATAAAAACCAATGTTTTTGGGTCGAGACCTTTGATTATATATAATATTATATAATAATATATATAATATTATATAATATAATATTATATACAGGGTGTCCCACCTAAGTTGCCTCGGTCCATAGCCGAATTATGATTGAGTTTCTCGAAAAATGTTTCAGATAAAAGTTGAATCGAACCGTATTGTACATATTGTAAAATTAGTTTCAGTAATGGCGGACTTCCGCTTCTACCGGAAATGNTGTCATTCATAACCCTCTAGCAACCCTTATTTAATTCTATCCCACTCCACTTTATCTATCCATATTTCCAGCAGTCCACTCAAACTTTTGTAAGCATTCCCAAAAGTACTTCCCCCCCTCTATTGCAATATCCCGCCATAGATATTTACATACTGGTGTTTAACAACGAAGAAGATGTTGTTTGCGAAATAAAAGAGATACTGGTATTTAAAATCAAGATAGAACCAATTAAGATAACAAAACTAATACCACAGTAGCAAGCAAGCAAGTTTAATTAAAAGCGTTGATAAAAGATTAAACAACCTAGAATATAGAAAGACCTGATAATTATAAGCTGGAATGCGAGGGGACTGCTAAAACACTAACAGGAACTAAAAGTCCTTGACATAGAAAAAATAGACTCTTAGTCTTATAAGCGAAACTCATTTCACAAAAGAATCCTACTGAAATTCAAAGACTTCAAAGTTTATCATACCACTCATCCAGATAACTCTGCTAGAGAACGCGCTATAACCAAAGAAAATATGTCTCATTATGAAGAACTAGGGAATAATACACCAAAAATGTAAGCTGCTATGATTAATGTAAGATGAAAAAACTATCAGTTTATAGTAGCAGCAGTTACTGCCCACAAAGGCACCCATTGAAAAGAGACCGATATCTCGAATTTCTGAAGAAACAAGGTTATAAATTTATCATTGGTGGTGCCTTCAATGCTAAGAACATAGCTTTATGGCCAAGATTGACCACGATAAAAGGCAGAGAACTCTACGAAGCTATAAAAGGGTATAAATGAGTATTGTCTACTAGAAAGCCAACATATTAGCCGAGAGACTACAATAAAATACCAAACTTGATAGATTTTTACACCGTCAAAAACATCTTCGCAGATTAATTACAAATAAAAGGAAGGTGGGTTATGGACTCAGACCACTTTATCTAACAATTATTCTAACTCTTAATCGTTATACAGAAAGCCGCTGACCTTACGTTTGTCAATTAACATACGTTTCGTCTTGTGCTTTGAAGAAAAAATGAATCTCTCAGTAATCATGAACCTGATGAAGTGGAACTGTTTGTCAAAAACATACAAGTAGCTTGGGAAAGTACTCCGACATTGCTAAGAAGAGTTGCAGTAAAAAACTATTCAAAAGAAATTAGATAGTAATAATAATGTCAGAAAAATAGAAACTAAGAACAAGATTACAGTAAACTAGATCACCCCTAGACAAAACTAAGTTAAATAATCTTAGTTAGCAACTAAAAAGAGAAATAAGCCAATTAAAAAGCGATTCTGTCAACACATACGTAAATGAACCTCCCGGCGACAATAGCACAAAACACTTCCTTTGGAAAGCAACAAAGAGATTTAAAAAACCTATTATATAGATCCATCTGCTAAGAACTGAAAATAGAAAATGAACAAGAAACAGTCAACAAAAAGCTAAGACCCATTTGCAAATTAGCTTGGAAAAACTTATCCGGTTAACGAAGATGAGGAAAAGGATGTAATAATGGAAAATTTCATTCAGAACGACGAAGAGAATACAAGCAAACTACTTCTCTAAGAGAGGTAACTACAGATATTAAAGAAAACATTAACTCAAAAAAGACAACATGATTTGATCTGATAACAGGAAATACTACGAAACATTTCGAGGAAAGCTATAATAAAACTGACAAATTTAATTAACGCCTCATTCAGATTACAATATGTCCTGATGAAAAATATGAACTGAGCATAAAATACATAAACTGTACTGGCTGTAAAAATGTATCTGGAAAGTAGCAGAAAGAGTTATAATACCAAAGCCTAAAAACAACCTCAAGATGTTACATCATATATACCTATCCCTTTATTATCAATATTATCAAAGTTATTCCAAAAACGACTGCTGTACACCTGTGATATTCCTCAATTATAAAATGATACGATAGCCACAGTTGTAGACTTGGCCATATTTTCAATTAGAAACAAATTATTCTATATTCAATAAATACAGAGATCGACAAAGATATGGAAAATAAAGTTAAATGAAAATAAGTCCGTACATGTCGATTTTAGAAATAATATCACCCTAGTACTCCAAAAACCAAGATCTGCATCAAGAACTGGAAGATGATATAGTGGATGAAATGTGAAAGTTCTGCTAGAAGACATGAAGAGAGACTTGATTACCATGTGAATATTGAGGCTATTGAACTCCTAGACAATTCATAGCTAGTGAGAAGACTAAAATCGTATGAGTTAGTTTAAGAAAGTGTTGACTAGAGTCAATGAAAACCAGAGCATGGTGCGGTAGTATACTTCAGTTAATAATGGCAGAACGTTAAGGACATTGCTGAGTATACCTTAATTTAAGATTATTTTGCCGTAGTAGCTGATTTATTGATTTGAACTGTTCTTTTCGTCGGTATTGAAAAGGCGTCGTCATGTCACAACCCGAGGGTTGATATCACATTCCATATGAAATGTTGATATCCAACATATGGTCAATCCAGCCATAGATTACATTATGACTGATAATGACTAAAAACTCGAGGGTAGAGGAGTTTGATTGAGTGTGGATAAGACGTGAAGAGTTGATATGCCTTAATTCGAATTGCAACTCCAAAGTTTGAAATATACAGTGTGCGGCAAAATTATGGAATAAATTCAATAAAACGCTTATAAACATTATTTTGCAAATACGGCGAAACAAGTCTGTTTTGATTTTTCAAAACACACTTTCTGAGCCCATATTTACTTTCCGATAGTCATTTGTTTTTAAATTATGCCGTCATTAACAAAAAAATAGTCTTTTATATTCCGTAATAAAAAAAATTGTGAATATAGGCTCAAAATGTATGTTTTGAAAAACCAAAATAGACTTGTCACGCCGTTTTTGCAAAATAATGTTTATAAGCGTTTTATTGAACTGAAAACTTTTAATAATTAGTACATAATAAATGTTCTTTTATAATTCATTTTAACCATCTGTAAAATTGATTTTTAATTCTCCACACTCTCTTGAGAAATAACCGATGTTAACCTGTCAAAATTTGATATCCATTAATAATTGAATCTATTTCTCTTTAATATAACTCAATTATCCTGTCTTTGCGAATTTATTTCTTATTGCTCCTTCAATCAAAAATGACCAAGGAAAAAAAAGATATTAAAAGATTATCTATTGGTAAGTTTTAATCTTTATATCCAACACATCTCGTTAATCTCATTTCCATTTCGTTTTAGAATTCACCAAACATATTAATCAAGATGGAGCTAAACTGGGAATACTCGCTCCGAAAATTCTTTTGGAAACGTTATGTTTATGGCCGGATTCAACAAGCCTAAAAATTCTTTTCGCAAATTACTTTGTTTTTTTTAATCTATTCGTTATTGAGTGTTTTCACACTTATTACGCTGTGTTATATTACGCTGAAAATGCCGTAAGCTCTATGACAACATTGATAACCGTCACAACCACTTTAGAATCTCTTGTAAGAATTTATTGTTTGATGTTTAAAAAAGATATCATCAACGATATTTTGTATAAAATTTGGAAAAATTTTTGGGCAGTTAACGTTGCAAATCCTCGCACACAAATCGAAATAAAAAGAAAAGTTTTCACGAGTGCTATTTTACCGGGAACTTTCTTTTTTTTCGCCGTTCTTTGTAATTTAGAAATTACAGGAACACCATTTATTAAGCAGCATTCGTTAATATTGAATTCTGAATATCCGTATATAAGTTGGAATCAAACATATGTATACGAAAGTTTGTATATATGGCAATACTTTTTCGATTGGTACGTTTTATTCACAGTGAGCAGTTTCGATTTACTTTTTTTACCGTTGGTAATGATCTGCGCGATGCAATTTCGTGTAATACAAGATGTGTTTCAAAATATCTTTACTGAATCTTCCGAAAGGCAGAAGAAATTGATTTTTGAAAGGGAAAATATTTCCGATAAGGAATTGGTGTTGAAATGTTTGGAACAACACGAATTATTATTGAAGTAATGAAATAAAGCTTGTTTTTAAACTATATTCTTGCTCAAATCTTTTTAGATTATGTACAAATTTGGAAAATTCATTCAACATCGTTATTTTAATTCAATACGTGACGAGTACAATGTCGATTTGTTCGAGTGCTTTAGTTTTGGTAATCCTGAAATATTTTAGAATTTTGTTTATTATTTTTTGATTGATTTTGTAGAGATTAGATAGAAGCCAATTCTCAAAAATGATGACGTATTCGGTTGCTCATCTCACCCAATTATTCTGTTATTGCTTCGTTGGACAAGAACTAACACATCAAAGTACACTTTTATCAGATAAAATTTTTAGTTGCAATTGGTGTTCAGATTTCGATCGAGATTTTCGTAGAACGATGATTATGATGATCCAAAGATGTCATCGCGAATGCGTTTTAACAGCTGCCGGTATAACCAATTTGGATTTTGCGGGGTTGATAAAAGTTTTGAGGATTTCTTTCTCATTTTATACACTTTTTGATTCGTTAATGACTCGAAGAGGACTTTAAGATCACACTCATTACTGTATACAAAGAAAACGAAAATTTTAAAACCTGCAAGAATGAAATCACTAATAAAAACTGTTTTAGTATATTTTAGTTACAGCAATAAAAGTAGGATAATTCAGTTTAATAAATCCCATCGCATTCATAGAGTAGGGTTGTAGCGATTTTAGATTAAGTAATACAACGTAAATTTTGATTTTTCTTAGGTCATTTTCATACCAGTTACTTAAATTTAAGGAATTTGCAAAATTTGAACCCTAAAATAATGATTAAGAATAAAAAGTCTTGATTGAAAATAACTTTTTTATTTACCCAATAAGTTAGTTCGTTTGAAATTGAACATAATAAAAATAATTGGGAAAGATGTCCGAAACAGTATGGTAAAATTTGGATATTTTCTTTGAATCCGTTTAAGTTAATTAAAAATAATGATACGCATAAAGCGGTTACGCTGGTTGTTAATTGAATAAAGTGTCCAAAGGAGAATATTTTGTTCAGTTTTTGAGTCATCCTAGAAAAATTAATAAATTAGAAATTAAAAATTTTTTGTGGATATTTTGAGGATTCTAATAAGGATGATAAAATATGTTGAACTATTTTAATAATTATTATATAAATCCATTTTCATCGATATTATTAAGGTAAATTGAATAAATATTACTTTCTATTTTACTGTTAATCGATGTATTAATTTAAATATTTCCTTTACATGTTTCGGCTTATTAGGTCATCATCAGAAGGTTTCTAACAAAATAACAAATTTCAAATTAAAGAAATCAAATTTTGAAGGTTATGTTAGGTTTTTTTTTTTTTTTTTTTTCCAAATTAAAATCATAAATCAACACATAGCATTAATAAAATATGTAAACAAGAGAACCTAATACCAAAATTTATGCAATATAAAATGCATAAACATCTAACGAAGAATCAAATCAATATCATTAAAAGAAAACATCTAAATAAAATTATCAAAGATCATTACAAGAACATTGACTTTAAAAACAGAGAACTATATCTAACATACGGAACATTAACAAAGAAACTTCACCACATAGAGATTGAAGAAATTATACAAAAGACAAGAGAATTCAACAATGAGGTAGACGAGGCATGGAAAAGAAAAATAAAAAAGATAAAGACCTTAAAACAACAACAGAGAAAACAAGAACACAATAATTACAAAAACCAACAGGAAATACATACATTTCATCCAAGATTCACAAACCTATCAAAAGTACAGTTTGATGAAGAGGAAACCACATTATTGAATAAGGGATATAAATTTGCTTATGAAGAAAAACCAATACCACTACCATACCTCGCTATAGAAATAGAAGCTGCAGCCAACAACACAGAATATGAAGAAAACATAAGAAAAGAAACAATTGATATACTGAGACGAAAAGAATAAAACGAAGAATAACACACATGAACAAAGAAAATAAAAAGAATAACAACAACAACACAACCAGAATCATAAAAAAGATCAAAAGAAAAATTAACAACAATAATTTAATAATAACAGGAGGCGACAAAAATGCGGGCCTGGTTATCATAGACAAAGAATCATACATCAAGAAAACATTAAATTTTTTTAAAGACAACAACTTTGCAGAAATAAAGAATAATCAGACAAAACAATTTCAAATGGAGACAAGAAAATTAATTAGAGAACTAGAAAAATTTTTTACCGTGAACAATATCAATACATTTTATTTGACTCCTATGAATCCAAGAACACCTATTTTATACTCACTAATAAAACTACACAAAACAGAACATCCTATACGACCAATCATAACATCTATCAGCTCCTCTACATACAAGATAAGTAAATTCATTATTAAATTTATTAACGATAACATTAAATTTGAAAACAAATATACCTTTAAAAATAGAGAAGAACTAATTAACACGATCCAGGACACTAAGCTGTCAAAAGATTTTTTAATGGCTTCTCTGGACGTCACAAATTTATACACGAATATTCCAACAGAAGAAACCATCAAAATCTTAGACAATATAATTAAATCACAAATTTCATACAATAATAAAGAAGCAATTATTAAATTAATTAAAGCATGCTTACAACAAAATTTCTTTAAATTTAATGAAAAGATGTATAAATTCAACGAAGGAGTGCCCATGGGATCTCCATTGAGTGGTCTGCTGGCAGATATATTCATGAACAAATTTGAAACCAATATACTAAGATCTTCAACATATACAAACATAATTCTCTGGCGTCGCTACGTAGACGACATACACCTCATATGGAACGGATCTGACGAAAGAGAAATAGAATTATTTAAAGAGGATATTAACAAAATACATAAGAATATTAAATTCACCCTAGAAATTGAAAAGAACAAAAAAATAAACTTCTTAGATATAACACTTAAGAATGAACAAGGTGAAATATCATTTAATATATACAGAAAACCAACCCAGACTGACATAATTGTACCTCATGACTCCTTCCACCATCATACACATAAAAACGCAGCGTTCCATACATACATTCACAGAGCATTTTCAACACATCTCAACGAGGAAAACTTAAACAAGGAAATTAAAATAATAAAGAACATAGCAAACAACAATGGATACCCATCACAACACATAGATAAGATGATCAAAAACTATAGAATAAAACAATATCTAAAAAACTCAACAACTCTGAATGATAAAGAAGACAAACAAAACACTCAATTTCGATCACTACCATACTGTGGAAAAATAGCGCACAAAATTAGTAAAATATTCAATAAAAATAATATAAATCTTTCCTTTAAATCACATAATAACATAAAAAACATACTAAACAACACAAAAGGAAACATCGAAACATTAGATAAAAACGGTGTATACCGTTTTGGGCTGTAATACATGTGGAGCCTTTTATGTGGGAGAAACTGGAAGAAATATACGAACTTGAATGAAAGAACACCTACGAAACACAGATTCAAATTTTGGAAGA